AGGAGCACAGGCCTGACAGAAACCAGTGAATCTGCTGCATCCACACTGCAGGTAAATTTGTATATTTTTAGTTTTGTGGGTGTACAGAAAAGATACTGCTTCAGTTTTGAGTATCTATGGTGTTATCTGCTAGACAATTTATTCTTATTTTTTATATGATTAGAACTCGTGTCCCACCATTATGTTATAATGTAAAATAACTGCAACAGTTCTATGGCGAGTACCGGAATTTACTTTTCCTTTTTTTAGTAGTTATATTGAAAAATGAAATAGTGTAGTGTGTTGTTATTAATAGTAAATTTAATTTTGTAGAAGTCAGCTTTCACCTCCTCACTGCATTTAGTTTTTGTGGTATGTCCTGTACTTATTTGGGTTTTGTTTAGTGTAATGTTAACAAAACTGATAAATCATTATTTATTGATTTATCTTCTTGAGCTCTGTGTAGCATTATCATTCTTCTGTTTGAATTCTCCTCCTTATTACTCTAAGACTGTTAAAAAAAAAGTTTTATTTTGGTTCTTTCTGATATTTATTGTTTTGTGTAACTTGGGTCACAATAACCAGACTTACTGGCTCCTTCCTGGGATGGAAAATGACACAATTAGAAGGAACCAAAGTCATTATGGCATCACTAGGTTGGTAAGGTGTTAGACAGCTTAACAGTGGACATTATTATAATAATAATTATTATTATTATTGTTGTTGTTGTTATTACTATTACTACTACTATTAATAGTAGTAGTGGTAGTAGTAGCAGTAGTATATATAGTAGTTAAATACTAGAACTCATGGCCATAAGTGGAAATTAGTGGGAGAACATTTTAAAACGAATTTGAGGAAGCACTTCTTTACACAGCGTGTAGTTAGAGTATGGAATAGTCTTCCTGTTAGTGTAGCGCAAGCTAAAACCCTGGGTTCCTTTAAATCAGAGCTAGATAAGATTTTAACAACTCTGAGCTATTAGTTAAGTTCTCCCCAAACGAGCTTGATGGGCTGAATGGCCTCCTCTCATTTGTACATTTCTTATGTTTTTATGTTCTAGTATTAGTAGTACTGTACTGCAACTCAGAATTGTTGCTTCCAACAGAACAATGAAATATTGAAAAATATGTTAGCATCCAAGGTTATTAGATACACAAGGAACCATTTTTTAGCAGTTATGATTATGCTGAAATGAATAAATGAATAACAACTGGTGTCAGAATGTGAATTCAAATACATTTACAGTGGCTCTGTGTTTACAGCAGCTATTCCACTTTGATTATATTTGGTTTTATTATCTAATACCAATATGTCACTTGTTACTAACATCAATGCTGGGATATTCCTGTTTCATTAACTTCCTCAGGAGTACTAATAGATTTTTATGTAATATGAAAACAAACATGTAACCTCTTTTATCTGCACATTATTATCTGTGTACTGTAGGTTACAGAGATTCATATAAAGTGTCTCTGTATAATCCTGGTGTAACTACTCAGGACCATATCGACTGGCATATGTGTGCTATCAATCCCATTTTTGTGGAGTAATATAAAATATGTAATATAATAATATAAAATAAGATCTGGGAGCATCCTTATAGATTGACAGAATATTTCTTTTCTCCTGTCTTGGGTACAAATGATTCTATAGCCTTAGGAATGTAGAGAATATCTTTTGTCTGCTGAAGTATATTTGAGTTTAGTCCACTATGCTTGTGGAATATAGACATGCTAGTTAAATACAAAACAATTTAGAACAATGATCTTACCCAGGACTATTTTTAATAAGACAGGTATATATTATTAGTGTTGTTGTTATTGGCATGATACCTCTGCAGGTAACACTGTTGTTTCACCCTTACATGGTTGAGGGTTTGAATCGTGCTTCTGTTCTGTGTTTCTGTGGAAATTGCATGTTCTCTCTATGTTATGCAGACTTACTCTGGTAACTCTAGCTAAAGACATGCCAGTTTGATGAACAGACATCTCTGAATTGCCCGTAGTCGGTCTGTATCATGAAGGAGGATTTGTTGCTTAGCCAGATAACTTGTCGGATTCAAGATACCCCAGCATGAATGGACTATATCTTCATGCACTTACATGTAGCCCAGACTACGTTAAATCTGATAAGTAATCTGGCTAAGCACGAAAACCATCTTAGTAATACAGGCCCACTGTACATGAATGAATGTGTGTATATATTCTATCTAGCATGTTCCCCTGCCTTGCACCCTGAGTTGCCTGGGGGAGACCTATATCCCTGTACTGAATAAGTAGTTGGGAAATGGCTGTGTTTAAATTTATTATTATTATTAGTAGTAGTAGTAGTAGTAGTAGTAGTAGTAATGTCAGCGGTTTGTGGGGTTAGTGGGGTAGGATGTTGCCTCTGTAATTGGATGGTTGCTGGGTCAAATCCCATGACCAGCAGAGTGATTTCACTGATGGACTCGTGAGCAAGGCCCTTTACATCAAACACTCCAGGGACTGAAAAAAAAAAGTGTTTTATTAAAGTCCTCTGACCTTGCTTTCTCCAACATGTATGCCGTTTTGCGTAAAAGCATCTACTGAATGTATAAAATGTTGTGGTAGTATTTTGAATCTTTGTCGAATGAGTACTGCTGTTGTTCATAGTAAGGGCAGCATGGTGGCACCCATCTCTGATGCTGGGAGTTATAATTCTCCCCATTTAGCATGAGTTTCCACCCCCAATCGAAACACATACAGTTAGGCTAAAGGGTATCTGTAAATTTTCCATTGTGAATGAGTCTGTATGTGTGCACATTGCCAAGGACTGCCATCCCATCCAGAGTGCCCCCCAGCCTTGTGCTGTCTACTGCTTGGGACAGACTCCAGGCTCCCCTATGCATCACTTTTAGCTGCTATGAATAAAGTCATCTGCTAATTAAATGCAAAGTAAATAATGAAGACAGCTGAATGTCTAAGGGTATCCATGCTTCAGCCTTATTTCACATCTAACTTAGTGAATCTGGTATGTGTATCGTACAGTGTTCATTATGTGTGTGCCAACACCAGGAAAGTTTAACTACACTTCTTAAGAATTCTGCAGTTAATGGTATTCCAAATTATAGTATATGAATGGTTATACATTGTTACAGGATGTGCATCTCTACTATTTAATGTTTCAAACGTATTAGAAATAAATTGCGAAACTCCTAAGTAGGAATTAAGACGAAAAGTGCTCGACCACAATATTACGCTTGAGGTGATAGAAAATACCCAGAAGGGTGCCTTTTGAATGGTTATACTAATCATATTTTGTGATGCCATCTGTTATAGTGTAAATTGCTGTTTTTAAGTTATTTCACCCTATTTTGTCTACATTACCTCTATACATGTCGCTGTTGCCTGATAAGTTTCGCCGGCTCTATAAATGCATGGGAGCCATGACAGTTTTCCGAGCGCGGGCTGCTCTGCGCGTGCTCGCTCTTTTCCAGAGATAATACCGTTCGCAGTGTCATATTACCCCGGAATATTCGGCTGGACATTCTTTCGAGAAAATAGCGCATATCCTCTTTTTCTGATATATTGAATGAGTATTATGCAAACTGTTTTTCTCTAACTATGGCGTCATTTTGCAATGGGAAATGCATATACTACGTCTGTGTTTTCTTCACATTCTACGCGACGTGGAGCAGCGTCTGGGCCGTGACTCGTTACTCTGTTCCAGAGGAAATGAAAGAGGGGTCAGTGGTGGCGAATTTAGCGGCTGATCTTGGACTCGATGTTGGAAGTCTGACTGAACGTAAGGTAAAGCTTGATATCTTACATAGCAAGAAGTATTTGGACATTAACAAAGACACTGGTGAACTGTATGTTCTAGAGAAAATAGATCGGGAATATATTTGCAACATAAAAACCTCATCGTGTTTTCTTAAAATGGATGTTACCTTGGAAAATCCTATTCGTATATTTAATTTTGAAGTAGAAATACTGGATATAAATGATCACGCGCCTCATTTTCGGAAGGAAACGATGCATTTGGACATTTCAGAATCAACCTCAGTCGGTGAAAGGTTCTCTCTAAATAATGCAGTTGACCCGGATTATGGCTCAAATTCAATTAAAACATACCATCTAACTGAAAGCGATCATTTTAACCTAGACATTCAAACAGGAAGTGATGGATCTAAATACGCAAATCTGGTTTTAAAAAAGGCGCTGGACCGTGAAAAGAAAGCTGTACATAATCTGATACTTACCGCTGTAGACGGCGGAGTCCCTGCGCGCTCCGGCACCGCCAGCATCATTGTTCGTGTGCTGGACGTGAATGACAACGCCCCTCAGTTTGATCGCCAAGTTTACACCGTTAATGTTAGCGAGAACTCACCTATCGGGTCCCTTGTAATGAAACTAAACGCCGAGGATTTAGATGAGGGTGGTAACGCAGAAATCGTGTATTCTTTCACACTTTACACGTCTGAAAAGACGCAGGATTTGTTTTCTCTGAATTCCAATACGGGAGAAATTAAAGTGAAAGGTGTGATCGATTTTGAGGAAATAAAAACGCTTGAGATGCACATACAGGCTCATGACAAAGGTATTAATCAGCTTTCAGGACAGTGTACAGTAATGGTGTTTGTTATTGATGTTAATGATAACCATCCAACAATCACCATTACATCTCTTAAGACTGCTGTAAAGGAGAACGTTCCCTTAGGAACAGTTATAGCACTTGTAGGAATCAGTGACAGAGACTCAGGAGATAATGGTATAGTCAACATAACTATAAATCAGCAATTACCTTTTGCATTAAACAAGTCATCAGATAAGGATTTTGCACTCATAGTATCAGAGCCTTTGGATAGAGAGAAAGTTTCTGAGTATGACATCACTTTCATTGTCACAGACAGAGGCACGCCTCCTTTGTCTGATAATGAAACAATCACTTTAGAGCTCCTGGACATTAATGACAATGCGCCCCTATTTCCAAAGTCATTCTATACTATTCCTGTGATGGAAAACAATGGACCAGGATCTTTGCTGAGTTCTGTTGCTGCAGTTGATCCAGATCTACATGAAAACCAGTATTTGGTTTATTTTATCATAGAGAAGGAAATAGCAAACACGTCCATGTCTATGTTGTTTTCCATTAATCCAGAGAACGGTGACCTTTATGCACTAAAAACATTTGATTATGAGAGAGAGAAGGAATTTCTGTTTCATATCGAAGCCCGAGATTCTGGAGTCCCTCCACTCAGCAGTAATGTGACTGTCCATATCATCATTGTGGACCAGAATGACAACACTCCAGTTATAGTGTCTCCATGGAGCGCACATGGCTCTGTGGTTGAGGAAGTGATTCCAAGATCCATTGATAAAGGACACCTGGTTTCCAAAGTTATCGCCATTGATGGAGACTCAGTGCACAACTCTCGGATCACATACCAGTTCCTACAGCTTACGGATGCTACGCTGTTCAGTCTGGACCAATACAACGGGGAGATTCGGACAATGAGAATGTTCAGCTACAGAGATGCTCGTCACCAGCGCATGGTTGTTCTAGCCAAAGACAATGGAGACCCTGCTCTCTCTGCCACCGTCACCATCAAGTTATCGACTGTGGAACAGGCCGTTAAAGTCTATTCTGACACCATGGAGGTACCTTTGGAGTACGACATCTTCTCAGACCTAAACCTCTACCTGGTGATCAGTTTGGGTGCAGTTTCATTTCTCTTACTAATGACAATATTGGTCACCATCGTGCTGAAGTGCCAGAAACCAAAACCCACCAAAGCGGCTCCTCCTGTATGTAGGAACAGCATCATCAGCCAGAGGAACTCTACTATAGCGGATTCCACCCTGATCTCCAGTGATGCCTACTGGTACAGTCTGTTTCTAGCAGAGACCAGGAAAGGGAAGGTTGTGGTTAGGCAGCCGGTACCCAAGGCTGGATACATCATTTCCAGTATACCCAGGAGCACTGGCCTGACAGAAACCAGTGAATCTGCTGCATCCACACTGCAGGTAAATTTGTATGTTTTTCGTTTTATGGGTGTACAGAAAAGATACTGCTTCAGTTTTCAGCATCTATGGTGTTATCTGCTAGACATTTTATTCTTATTTTTGATATGGTTAGAACTCATGTCCCATCATAATGTTATAATGTAAAATAACTGCAACAGTTCTATGGCGAGTACCGGAATTTACTCTTCCTTTTTTTAGTAGTTATACTGAAAAATGAAATAGTGTAGTGTATTGTTATTAATAATAAATTTAATTTATATATTAAATTAATAACTTTGTATAACAGATGAACATTTGTCAAAAGCAGTCAGCTTTCCCCTCCTCACTGCATTTAGTTTTTGTGGTATGTCCTGTATTTATTTGGGTTTTGTTTAGTGTAATGTTAACAAAACTGATAAATCATTCTTTCTTGATTTATCTTCTTGAGCTTTGTGTAGCATTATCATTCTTCTGTTTGAATTCTCCTCCTTATTACTCTAAGACTAAAAAAAGTTGTATTTTGGTTCTTTCTGATATTTATTTTTTTATGTAACTTGGGTCACAATAACCAGACTTACTGGCTCCTTCCTGTGATGGAAAATGACACAATTAGAAGGATCCAAAGTCATTATGGCATCACTAGGTTGGTAAGGTGTTAGACAGCTTAACAGTGGACATTATTAGTATTGTTGTTGTTATTATTATTATTATTACTATTACTACTACTATTAAAAGTGGCAGTAGTAGTAGTAATGTGAGCGGTTTGTGGGGTTAGCGGGTTAGGATGGTGCCTCTGTAATTGGATGGTTGCTGGATCAAATCCTCCTTATTGCTCTAAGACCAAGTCCTAATTTTTGGTTCTGTCTGATATTGATTGTTTTGTGTAACTTGCCAGTCTCAAAAGCTTCTTCCTAGGATGGAAAATGACAAATTAGATGGGACCAAAGTTAGGATTGCATCACTAGGTTGGTAAGGTGTTAGACAGCTTAACAGTGGACATTATTATTATTATTATTATTATTATTAGTAGTAGTAGTAGTAGTAGTAGTAGTAGTGCTACTATTTGGAGTAGGAGTAGTAGTAGTAGTGCTGTATTGCAACTCAGAATTGCTGCTTCTAACAGAATAATTAAATATTGAAATTGCTAACATCCAAGTTTATTAGATACACAAGAAACCATTTTTTAGCAGTGATGTTTATGCTCAAATAAATACATGAATAACACCTGGTGTCAGAATTTGAATTCAAATAAATTTACAGTGGCTCTGTGTTTACAGCAGGTATTCCACTTTCATTATATTTGTTTTTATTATCTAATACGATTATGTCACTTGTTACTGACAGGGAGTGATGCATCTAAATACGCAAATCTGGTTTTAAAAAAGGCGCTGGACCATGAAAAGAAAGCTATACATAATCTGATACTTACCGCTGTAGACGGCAGAGTCACCGCCAGCATCATTGTTCGTGTGCTGGACGTGAATGACAACGCCCCTCAGTTTGATCGGCAAGTTTACACTGTTAATGTTACCGAGAAGTCAGCAGTAATGTGACTGTCCATATCATCATTGTGGACCAGAATGACAACACTCCAGTTATAGTGTCTCCATGGAGCGCACATGGTTCTGTGGTCGAGGAAGTGATTCCAAGATCCATTGATAAAGGACACCTGGTTTCAAAAGTTATCGCCATTGATGGAGATTCTGTGCACAACTCTCGGATCACATACCAGTTCCTTCAACTTACGGATGCTACGCTGTTCAGTCTGGACCAATACAACGGGGAGATTCGGACAATGAGAATGTTCAGCTACAGAGATGCTCATTGTTCTAGCCAAAGACAATGGAGACCCTGCTCTCTCTGCCACCGTCACCATATTTATTGAATATTTATCAAGTTATCGACTGTGGAGCAGGTCGTTACAGTCTATTCTGACACCATTGAGGTGCCTTTGGAATACGACATCTTCTCAGACCTAAACCTCTACCTGTGATCAGGTGCAGTTTAATTTCTCTTATTAATGACAATATTGGTCAATATCGTGCTGAAGCGCCAAAAGCCAAAACCCACCAAAGCAGCTGATTGATTTCTATAGTCTTGTGTTTGTATTGTTATATAAGTTTATTTATTAGTTTCCTTATGCCCTTTTCTGACACAATCTGGGGGTTTTAGATGATCCAGTCTAGTCTGTGATCCAGTTGTCTCTCTGTACTCTTTTCCAGTAGATGTTGTCACTGTGGGTTTTACTATGATCACATGAATGCTTAATTAGGTCACCAAGCTCAATGTCAAAGTTATACAGTAGCACCCTCTCCATTGGTGCAAATGTACCCTGGAATCTCAGTAATTCCAACATCCATTACCATGTTAGTACTTTTATCTTCAATCACCTTTTTAATGTTCTATTGGCTTGATTTCTTAGCTAAACAGACAGACAAACTGATTATATTCATCCCCAGACCCGGAGAAACTGGGTTATCCTGATCAAAATGAGGTCATCAGCATGGGTCCCGTGGTGTTTCTCAGTTTCCTGCTCTGGTGCAGGGACCCCTGAGTCGTGGCCAAACCATCAACTATAATGTAATGCTTGGTTAACCCTTTTTTTACCATAGTCATCTTTTACCAGGTCATAAATGGTACGTGGACTTTCATTTTTGATCGTTGGCCTATTCTTAACTACTGTTTATGCCACCCATTTACTGGCAGAAGTAGCCCTATATCAGGGGTGTTATACTCCAGTCCTGGGGGGCCAGAGCCCTGTGTAGCTTAGTTCTTAAATGTTTCAGCTCAAAAGCTGTGTGGTAATTAGCACAAGGAGTTAAATCAGGTGTGTGAAACGAGGGGAAACCCAAAGATGTGCAGGACACCAGCCCTCCAAGGACTGGGATTTGACCCCCCTGCTGTATAACTTTATTACCCCGGGCTGTTGTGGGTTTGGGTCAGATGAAGGCTATGTTGATAGATTTGCGTGGCATAAAATTCTTAAATATCATTCAGTACCGTACTCCATATGCATATACCTGTCGGCATCACTCTGCCCCGCGGTATATTCTGTGCTCAGAAGCATGAAATGTGGAAAAAAGTGGATGTTTTTTTCATGATATACGAGCAACATTTTCTTATTGTTTCAATAGAGGACTTACTAAAGTAAAAATACATGTTGTTGTGCTTTCAGAAATTGTTTTGTATGCATCATGTTTTACTTTAGCGTTAAATTATAAAGGACACTACGGTTTTTGTACAGAAGATACAGGGAGGGCATAGAATGAAAAAACAACTGTTTCAATAATTGTTGGACTAATATGATTATACAGATATTTGAACCATTTTTTAATGTTCTTTTTCCACTTAATTTGAATTCACATGCACATTTAAACTAAACATGCAACTTCTTTCTATGTGAAACATTTTTTTTGTTTATGCTGGTTATTTTAAATTGATTATTAAAGATAGAACATTAAAGCATACCTAGTAGGTGTATATAATCTAAATACATCACTCTGGAGTTACTTGGAAGCTCTACAGTTATGTTTATAATTGCTTTCTGCAGTCCAGTACATGTGGGCATGTTGAGTTGCGCTGTCAGATCAACCATGATCCAAGTTGCTGTGACTTCTTGCAAAATGTAATGGCCTGTCTAACATTATACAGCATTGTTCTGTGGATATTTTTATGTTCACAATTTAAAAGGTAAGTTTACTTCCTGTCTGTTTCGGTTTGACCTATATGGTATTTTCTCAAATGCTCCCTCCCGATTCTGTTCCACAGGTCCCCTTTCTTCACTGCAGAGATTTTTTTCTGCACTTGTGGTTAAATGGGAAGTTTGTTTACTGGGATCTGACAGCATGCTGGTTCCCCCCTCCTTGCTTTGGGTGGTATCGCCCACTGAGCCTCATTCAAACAGTGACCAGAAAACCAGAGAGGCTCCTGCACATGAACTAAGATCCCTTTGTTACTGTTGTAATGTGAATATTAAAATCATCTTTTCTTTTTCTATTCTAAGTACTCAAAATGAAGGAAACCCGATGCTGCAGGTATGGTACACTGAATCTACAGAGGCACTTGAATGATGTAAACAAAATATATATGTTTTGTGTTTGATTTTGATCGTTTTTTGGTGCACTTTTTCTATTTTCTGATTTTGACTGCATCATGGCTTGATCTATTCTTGTTCCATTTTTCACACCCTAGACCACAGAGTTAATTTATGATTGCCTATACGGGCTGGATACCTCAGCCTAACCTAAAGAATCAGATTTCAGTCATGAGACTGAAGCCTCTCTTCTTCTCTGACAACAGAGTAGACAAAGGAAACAGCCTCCTTCTGATTCAGTTTATTAGGGGCCTGCACCGATATTTATTCAAACACACAGGATAAATGTGAATCAATTTAACATCCATGTCATGGTTAAGGATAGTATTTTTAATATGGGAACGGCTGTGGCTGCAGTGGAAGCTCATGCAGAGGTGACTGAAGGCCTCTTTGACCCTTATGGTTGTTTTCCACTGTGTGACCTCTGACCTACATGACTCTTTATCCACAAGCATTCAAGCCTATTGTTAATCCTTTGAAAGGCAATCCATGATCTTCAACACAGTTGTGCATGTTTAGTAATGTATGTTGTTTTTTCTATTTGGCCCCGTATTTGACTGTTCTGTCCAAAGAGGAGTTTCTTTCTGTTTGTCCGTGTTTTTGATTTATTCTTAGAGCACTGCATACAGACGCCATTCACTGTCTTCCGGGATGTTAGCAAACTGCACACAGCCCCACTAAGAGTTACTCTGAAAGCATGACGCTGGATGTTAGCCTCCCACACTAATACATGGACGTCTGTCTGACAGCAGTAGTGTCACACACCTGCAAGAGTCAGGTCCATTGAAGAGCTTCCTTTGGTCACTGCATGAATAAGGTCCAAACTGGTACTGATAGTAATCCTGATTGGTACTTGGTACAGTAGGAAGTTAACCACTTACCTTCTGTCTTTCTCTCCCTACCAGTAAACAAACCTCCACCAACAAAGAGAGCTGTCAGTGGGAGGGGGATTTAACTCCTGCCCCTGTTTCTGTCTCTCTCTCTGTCGGCAGGCCTCCACCACCACCAGCAGCAGCAGCAGCTCCTCCTGAGGCCTCCTCCTTCCCGTCGTTAGTGGTACTCCATCAGTCACCTCCCCCATTCCCGACAACCTGCTTGGAGACACCTCTGACCCCTCCCTTAACCCCCCCCCCAAAGGAAAAAAAAAATCCCAAGCTACAGCATCCAGTGATCCAGCACCACTGTCATCTCCTGCCCCTAATGCATGACACTGCATGGCAACACCGTCTGGTTCTCACCAACACTACCCACCTGCATTCCAGTGACAAGGGTCAGGAGCGTCTAGCTTGGTGGGAATTCATGAGCATGTAAATCAAACCATAGAGAAGGAAATGAGGGTGTGAACACAGAACTTCAGTTTTTCCACCAAATCTCACTCCTTTTCTGTCATACCTGAAATGCGTATTGTAAAATAGGACAAAAGGGAAAAATTACTGTTTTGTGCTGCATGGTTTTGCTAATTATGGTTAGTACATCAAGAGTAAGTATGAGTATAGTAAAGAGTCCCTTTTCATTGATCTTGATGGCAAAATGGAGACTTGTGAAAATATCTCATTGTGCATAACTTTACCCACAAACCACTGGGAGTTACAAGGATGTTAGATCAGTCGTCTTGCAACATGCAGGCCCAGTGAGGCTGACTCCCCTCCCTCCCCTGCACCCCCCCCAGCCACCTCCACCACCCCCCCACCCCCACCCACAATCTCCTATCAATGATGCCACCTTTCTTACCTACAGCTTCCAGCCCGTGGGATGAGTTTGTGTTGTGTGCACATATATATGTATATGATACAAAGTACATGGTTTAAAGGGTGAACGGGACTGTTGGGGGTGCAATGGTCGGAACGAGTCCAGAACTCTCTGCGAGGAAGCGGCCTGGCCGATTACTGAAGCTCTGTCCTCATGCCAGGAACTGATTTCACACCTGCAGTCACCTGTCCTGTATCAGCAAGCTCCACATAAGACATTAGCCTGGAATACGCCTGATATATAACCAACTTTCCACCCAAATAGTTTAGAACATGTACTGCTATCACTATATTCAGCAGACCTTTGTAGTTGTGATACATATGTTACAGGTACATTAAAGTATTATCCGTTTTATATAATGTGATGTATGCAAAGTTATTACGAAAAACAAGACCAATAGACCATGGAATTTTGCTGACATATGCTAAATATTCTTGTTTTGTTGTTTTTATAACAAATATGACTGATGTAAGAAGGTGCTTTGGTTAATATTTTGACTTTACAACTTCAAATTGTGCGGAAGCTGTTGGTTTTTAGTCAATACTATTTGTGATTTAAAAAGTGGTCATTGTTCTTTTTGTAAGGTACGGTTTGTAAAACAACATTTTTGACAAATGTCAGACTTTTAATCAGAATTACATGTCAATGTAGTTAAAGTGTTTTAACACAAGTTTTTCTTTGAAGTGTTTCCCCTCTCTAGTGTCCTCTTTCCAAGGTGAAAGGAGAGATGATTAGTTAATGATCTAGTTTAACATAATTTCCACCTGATCACTATTTCCTGAACCCTATAATATGTAGAAGCAGTAAGCAGTAAATGTTGGGCCACAAGTGTTCAGCAGCAGTACTAACAGTATGAACCAGTTAATAGAAATAACCATGGCAACAGCTATGATGAAAGCTTTGTTGGCTACAGTGCAATTCTGTCAGTATAAATCCCCTCTACACCTAAACTGCCATATAGAAAACAGAATTTCTCTCATTATGGCCATAGTGTCCATTAATTACTATTATTATTTTTGTTTATTAATACCTTTAGCTGTAAGACATTTTCTATGAACAGAATATGGTGCTTTGTGTACAGGGCATACAGTATGTATATGTGAACAGCTTATGGGGGATGTGGGTGGGCGATCATGATTTGTGTGTCCGTGTGTCAGAGAAAAGGAAAAGAAAAACAAAAGGGAAAGATTTATCAGTTAAAATGTAAGTGCTGCAGCAAGAAATGTAGAAGAGCAAACGATTAATTAAAATTAAGTTTAAAGCGGAAAAGTAAAAATGCTTTCTATGCGTATATTTAGATATTACAGACACCAGTATTGCCACTCGGTGCTGAACTCTTCAGTTCTGTCAAATCAATCAGAACCACATGCTTTCAGTATTCTGGCGCACTGTGCTCTGCCAGTCCCCTGACAGTGCATGTGTGTATCTCAACAACATGTTGGAATAGTTCTGGGACTTAATGTCCGCAAAGCATCTGATTCCTACAACCCTCAGTGTTGCTGCCTTCATTAGATCCCCAGAAGACATATCAGTACAAACTTCAAATGTAAAATTTACTAATGAGAAGCACATTTGAATATTGCCTTGTAGACCTGGATCAATCCACCCTTTTGTGAAAAATCTCTTGAACTATCTGAGTCTAGTCTAGTCTCGCTTAGAGTGGTCTCCGTGGGTGGGGGTTCCCTTTTTCACCCCTGCTGGATATCCTGAGGGATAAATAGCTTCATCCTGCTCAGAGCTCAGTATCCAGTGCTGTTTAAAACAATCAATAGTTTGTACTGATATAGAAAAAAAACGTCATATGGTACTCTTCTTAATGTGGCCCCTGTGAAAGTGCATTACACTATAAAACAGCATCCACATACTGTTCTCCACACAAACCACCAGAGAATGAATGGATGGGCAAAGGAATGGAAAAGCAGCCCAGGTGTTGCAAGATCAGACCTGGGATGAAGTAGGAAAGAGATGCTTCTCTGTGTTGGTGGAGAATTACAGAACCTGAGTGTAACTGGGGCAGGTGAAGGTCTAATCCTGCACCGGTTCCATGAGTGATGATGTTTTATGTGTACAGGTGAACAGATATGTTGCTAGTACAGACTGAAATAAGACTTTTTTTGTCACGTTTAAACTCAATTTCCACTGTAAATATGATTGCTGTTACTGCTTGTCAATGCTTATGTGAGAATAAAAGCTTTGAACAGAGACCACTCCCATTCATTAGTGTGAGAGGAGAGGTTTATCACACATGGCTGCCTCCCTGAGCTCCCATTGGTCTATATTCTCTCTCTTGTTACTGTAGTGAGAGACCTCAATTCAGGATTCAGGCTGGGGAGATAATCAAAGCCTATCGCTCAGGGCCCTCTAAACCATTACCATTGAGTTATATTCTCTAACTCCATATAAATAAAATTCATAATGGGGTACCTTCTTTAACCTAGTGTTGCTGCTCGAGAATTTTCCCCTGAAAAATATCTGCTCTTATTCCCTGCAAGCTACTGTCATACCAAGGTGTCTAAAGATGACAAGCCGTTTCTCTGTTCTCTGAGAGATACCGTTATGTGTTTTTGTAAGTGGGTCATGGATATAAATAACACTGGAGAAAGGATGTGTGCTAGGTACAGATAAATGTGCCCTAGGTGGAGAAATCCTAATTTACTGTGCTTATCATTTTTATGCCGTCTCTGAAGCACCTTCAGAGCAGCCCTGAGAATTTACATGCTGTAGCGTCATTATGCAGCATGACTTCACATTATGCAGGAGAGACGTTCCATTTTGCTGCTGCAGCTGCTTGACTGGAGCCTTGCTGTTTCCAACACACTGTGTTATACATCAGGACACGCTACGGAAAAGTGGAGATTGTTACACACATTAGGCAACAGACAAAAAGACTGCTTGCTTGAAAAATACCCAGAAACAGCTGTAAACACAATAAAAAAAAATTTGCTCCCATCTGACATCATTTTAGTCTCAACTTGCACTGCAAAATATTTAGAGCCCTTATTCCATTCTTAGAGAATATCCCTGTATCACTTTTAATCTATTCCTATATTAAATATGTAAGATAATGCTGTCTGCCTTACTCAATGTTTAACTTTTCAGAAAACAATAATTCCTTTTGAGACAATGTGATTGTATTTAAAAAGAAAAACATGATTCTACCACATTTGTCTTACAGGTCACCAGTCAACATAAATCATTCAAGTATGAAATTTAAATATGCAATTAATGACACTAATTTTCAAATGAAGCAGGTTCCAAATGGCATGTGTATTGAGGGGGGAAAACTATTAAAATTGCATTCATTATCAGTGAAAATATATGCATATAAAAATTGCACAAAGTATTACACATATTACACAACAGATGGGTATCGTGCAATTATCAACATGCAAACATTTATTACTCATTTCCACTCACATTATTGAACATTTGACATTTTTGTCAGACAGTATGAGGCTGTTATATTACTGCACAGATGCTGGTAACATAAATAAGTATAAAAGCCCTTTAGACATGCATCAAATGAGAATTATTTAAAATATTATCTCGTTATTACATAGCAAAGACACCAATGCACGTTTCCTCAATGTTAGAATAAGTTTTAAAAATAAGCATAGTAACTACACTACTGATAGAAATCTATTCACACACTTGAAATGAAATGTTTAGTGATCCATGTGTACAATGATCACTCCTTTACGCATTACAAAATCAGCTTCTAAATGTGAGTACAGATTTCTCGTGCCTGCTAGACAAAGGACGTTTTTACCAATGGTATAAGCATAATGCAATTAAGTCCTAGCACATTAATAGCTAGTAAAAGTTTGGTTAGAAATAACGGGTAGCTGCTTTAAGCTCGCGCAATTCCTGCCCCCCCCCCCTTCAAATCTGCGTTTTCCCAAGGACACGTCTGCCTCTTGGAAATAAGCACCATGGACAGCAACCCCAGGGATCTGCGTTGCCAAGGAAACCGCGCGCTGCCTGCTTCTGCTGACTGCGGGTAATTTTATATTTAGACCGGATATTCAATTTGTCTGCTGGATGGCAGTTACACAGAGCAAGCAGACATCTGCTTCTTAAGTAGCATAAACCACTGTAATAATTTAAAAATCTACACAATCAAGGGTAACGGTTTACATAAATGTAATTTTTAAGGCTGCGGTGGCTCACTATTAGTTTCGGCATGTGCCCACGTCTTTTCACTTGAAACCGTCCAAGTAACAGATTATATATCAAAGCCGTAATAGTAGTAGCAGTAGTTGTTGTGTTTCATTTTATTTTAATCTAAATCCACGAACCTCGCAAGAAAGCAATAGGCCATACTTATGCTAATTCCTTACCACAGTATGTCATCATCCGATGAGATTTCAAGGTTTCGTATAATGTTATTTCTAGATAATATTTAATTTGTAAATAAAATATTGTTTGTGATTTAATAACTGAATAATATATTGACCTCGTGACGTCAGGGTTAATATGTCAAGCGTGATTCTTCAGACCGAAATAAATTCTTACTAGCGCCCCACGCCGAAATCATGCAAAGATGGAGGACTGTACAGAAATCTTTTCAGGTAGCCTAACCTGTATTAATATATGTGCACTGTTATTCTTGCCTACCCATTTAAGAGTGAGAATAAAGTAACCTTATTATTGGGTATAGACTGGGAATTCGAACTACATTTTATGAGGAAATGAAAAATCTTTTCTCAGTTGAAGATTGCGTTCACAAACGAAATGAAGAATTTGAATATATAAAGATACTGTATTATTGCTATTATTTACGGTTTACCAAATTACGGAACATTAATTAAACATCCGGATACAGAACTGAAAAAGGAGGGACGGTAAATACTCGCGCAAACAAGACGATGAGTACAAATGTTCTTCAGATGCATTGCCGTTTGTCACAGGATATGATAAATATCCGGACAGTTTATGGCCATCCTAGGGTAAACCCTCTGTCTTATTTCTGATATATGGTGTTCATTTAAACTGTGCTGTTACTTGAGTGAGAACTGCGGGTTTCCTGGCACGATGAATTAAGAAAAGCTTAGCTTTTAATCATGTGATATTGCCTGCACGTACAAGCTGCACTTTAGCAGAATCGCATGGTGTCACTGTTAAACGAAAAAAGGGCTGCTTCTTCCTCCGGTTGTATGTTAGACGTTTGCTGGGTAGATTAACACGTTTGCTGGGTCGCTCATTACAACAAAATTCGGATTCCGTAGTTGTTTGATATTTGTTTAAGATTTTTTAAAAAGAAGAAAATGTTATTGCTGTCCACAAATAAAAATTATGAACAGTTTATTCGCCAAACATATCAATGAATGTTCATTTATTTTCAAGCTGTACTGAAGTACTAGATATTGGGTTGATATAATATCTAAATAATAATAAAATTATAATCGACCCCCTGCTTTCCCAATAATAATAAAAATCGACCCCCTGCTTTCCCAATGACTAATAAAATGTTTGCTTTTATACGATCTGATCCTTTTTGAACATTTTTCTGGTCAAGCTGTAGTTTCAGGTATAGCAAGACACAGAATGAGTCCCAAATTAGAAAAAGATTCCATGCACAACCACAATTTACCTTCACATACTGTTTGATTAGAAGATTTTCTTAAGCATGAAACAGTGCTCCTTTAATATTCTTCTGAGAACAGTAGAACAATGGTTTGTTGCAAAAAAAGCATGATTTTCCCTGTATAGATATTGTTCAGTGTAATATTTTATAATGTTTGCCTCATATTCACTAATTATAAGGGCAAAAGACTGTCCTGCACTGTGCTATAGTGAAATTTACTGGCTGCACACACCCATCTGTGCTGAAGGCTGGTATTTGAATTGTTCCCTACTCTGGCACAGGGAGGCGCTATAGCTGAAATGCCAGCAATAGGTGGTTAGAGTGGAATAGCTGGAAAACCTTTATCCATAATTCTATGCAATGCCATAGCACTTTATGGGTAATGGATGCATAACTTTATGGATGGACATTATAGAACTTAATGCATCCATGTCCCTTACCCGCTTGTCCTATGCAGGATTACTGGTTATCTGGAATCTAACCCAGAAACTACGAGTGCAAGGCAGGGCACAACCCAGCCTAGTGCTAATTAATATGGTTTCTCCAGTTTAGTCAGATTGGACCACAGTGCGTCGCTCTTGCTCCATAACATCAAATATGTGCAAGGAATTTGTGCACCCCCCCCCCCTTCTATCCACAACCCTCCATTGTCAGGTTCCTGCGTTACTAACTGAATTGTTATCAGCCCATCAAGATAAGATTAGGTTAGCACATTGTAAAGTGCAGTTGCATAGTAAACTGGTTAACTCATTTTTCGTATCAGCATACTGAATGGGTAATATGTTATTCAATCTGTTTCAGTATTGTATGCTACAGGCTGTAGGCCTATATTCTTTACACATACAAAGCCTTCAATTTTAATGTCCATCATTAATGAAAAGGTTGAAAAATGGACACTGGCTATACTTTTTCTTGAAATGATTCTTCCATTATTATTTGGTTGCCAGAAAAATACTGATTGCTTCAACAATGACGCTTGCACATCATGTTAATATTCTTTTCCTAGTACTGTGGACTTTTCTCATCGACCAGCCATTGGGATAGATTGCCTACATTGTGTTTGAGGAGGTAAAATTGGGCACATCAGTGGAAAACATTGCCCAAGACATTAACCTTAGTGTTAGGGAGCTGGAGGCTCATGGCTTTTGGATTATTTCTGGGTCTAACAAGTAGTTTTTTGGGGTTATTCTGGAGTCAGGGGCATTGTTCATGAAAGATCAACTTGACAAAGATGATACTTATCCAGACGTAGCCTCTTACTCCGTCCATTTAGAAACTTTAGTGAACAATCTGCTGTAACTATATAGAATGAAGATAAATGTATTGAATATTAAAGACAATTTGCTTCTATTACCATTGTAATCTACACAGATCAATATTAGTGAAATAACTGCACCTGGTGTGTATTCCACTTTGGAGAACGCACATGATACAGACATTGGAATGGATTTAGTAAAAACATATTGCATGGATCAAAAAAACAAAATGTTTCGGATTTGTAAACTCAGAGTGACAAGAAAATGTTAGTTAACTAGTGATGGGCAAAATGATTCTTCATAAACTATTTGCTATATTTTTTTATTCCACTAGATGGTGCTCACTGTTCAAAAAAAGGGCACTTATCATGCCTCAAAGCAAACCAAGAGCACCATCTAGTGTGGTCAAAAATACAGCAAATGGCCCATGAAGCCTCATTTTGCCCATAATTTTGCCCATTATTGTTGCAGAAGGTATTAGACTAGGAGAAAACTCTGTGCCTTTGCCTTCAGGTGACTGCTGTGGATGGGGTTTCACCTCCAAGATCAGGCACTTAATTCATTGAGGTGAACATATTATATGTCAATGACAATGCACCCCTTTTTAAATAAATCGCTATATAAAACTACCCTTTATGAAAAAGTCCATCTCAGTACCTTAGTCATAACACTAAATGCATCTGATTTGGATAAGGGTATTAATGTTGTGACTGAATATTAATTTAATGCCTATAATCCACCAAACATTTTGGATACATTTGAAATAAAATGCTCACACGGGGAAGTCAGAGAAGTTGGAAGCATTGATTTTGAGCAATGTGTTGCTTTTGAAATTCACCTCCAAGCTGTAAACCAGGGCTGTTTGCCTATGAGCAGGCACACAAAACTATTAGCGGAAGTAATGGATGTAAATGATAACGTGCCAGAAATAACCGTAATGTCCCTCTTGAGTCCTGTGATGGGAAACACAAGTAAGGGCACAGTGGTAACATTACTGTGTCAGACAAAGATGGAGGCACGAACGGGCTGGTCTATTGTCATGTTTTTGGGACAACTTCCTTCAGACTTCAGACATCCTTTCAAAACTATTATTTGTTAGTTCTGAATGAGGAACTGGACCGCAAGATTCAGAGTATTCAGAGTATAATATCACTGTAATAGCAAGGGACAAAAGAAGCTCTCTGTTATCCAGCAACCGACTAAGTAAAGTAGGGCCGACTGGTCTCTGATGTGAACGACAATGCTTCCTAAACCCAGATGCAATTGTTCATTTGAAGAACAGTCCAGCTGCATTTTTTCTGTATACAGTTTCTGCTTCCAACCCCCACTGGAAAGAAATTTCTCAAGTAACATATTTACTACTTCAAAGCATTCCTGCTGGGATCTCCGTTACATCAATGATTAGCAGGAACCCCAGACAGGTGAAATACATTATATGCAGACTTTCAACTATACAGGGTTCAGGTCACAGACTCTGGTGTACCTCGGTTATGCAGTAACCTGACTGTTAAAGTGTTTATCCTGCATGAGAATCACAACAGTCCTGGGATTCTCCGGCGCTATTCAGACTGAGGCTTTGTTCACACAGAAAATATTTCCTACTCTGCTGAAGCAGGTCACTTTGTGGCTAAGATCAGGGCTGTGGAACCAAAAGCATCCAAATAGGAACTAACAATGGAGAAATAAGGACTAAGAGGTGAATGAGTGACAATCACTGGAGAACTCCCTAGTCATTTTGATTTCTGAAAATGGAGACACTTCTCTATCATCAACTGTATCTATCGACAGTGTAGTTGCAGAAAGAAACAGTTAAGTCCAGCCTCAGTTCAGACAATGACCAACAAAGAAGAAAAGTTTTTCCAGTTTATATCTGTATTTGCTCATTGTCACTGTGTGAATCACAGTAATAACTTTTATTATGTCTTCTAAGTTTAATAGCTGCAAAATGACACAGGACAGACAGTGGTTTTGGCCAGTACAGTTCCCCTGATGGGAGCCGGTTTTCCTCTAAATCAGCTCAGCAGTATGACGTTTGTTTTAGCCCAGATGCACTGAAGAGTGACGTGGTGGTTTTGCCAACTCGGCTTCTACCTGTGAATATGGATCTGATCAGCATTAATGGAGCTGAGACTTTGAAACAGACACAAACGCTGACTGAAGGTGAAAAGGTAAGAGCAATTTTCTGTGCTTCATTTATGTTCTATACAGTGCTTGAGGTGGGCCGGTACTCACCAGTACACAGTACCAGCACCTCTTCGGTTTTCTATTAAGAGTACTGGTACCTTTCACTATCTGCTGGTTCTGAATAACAAGGGCAGTACCGGCACCTGGTTCTGAATAACAAGGGGAGTACCGTTTGCCTGTTTTCCCCCACTTCAAGCACTGGTTCTATGTTCAATAAGTAATTCAATAATTTATGCATGATGCACTATTTTAAATCACATCATATTTCATATAACAATTTTGGAATAATTGTAATGATGTGTGAGTATTCCAAGCTATCAGTGTGCTGAAACATTTTGCTATATTTACTTTAAATCATACCCTTTTCCTCGAGATTTCCCATCTTCAGTTATTAATGAAAAAGCTTTGGAAATACAGTACTGAGTTTATTGAGCCAACAACCTCAAATTATGATAAATAAATTGATGACTAATATTATATGTATATTTGGGTTACTGTCAGCATAGCTCCTAGATTTGTAACATTTACTTAGATATTCTAAAAAATGTTTAAAATCAGGTTCAATTTTGGAAAGAGTGTAGATTTTCCTCTTCAAGTTGGATTTCTCAAATCAGAGCTGCTGTAGAAGCCTCAGTGGTAATCTTCTTTCCCATTGCCTTTTCTGCATGAGCTTTTCAGTAATATTTTACTTAAGGCTGTCGTGTGCAGATGGAACAGAGGACACCAGAGCAGGCATGAGGGCAAACAAAAAGGGGTTTTATTAAGTAAACCAGAACAGGCAAACAAAAAGGATCACAGGGAATCAAGAGGGGAGGCTAGCACCCAGAAAACAGGACTACACAATTACACCATTCCAATGAGGCAACTGGAGATCGCAAGAAGTACTTAAATCCTGGACTAATAAGCGGGCTCAATGAGAGGCAGCTGGTGTGGATCACAAGAGGGCAGAAACGAGAGGTAAGGCTAAAGAGGGACAGGCTTGATGAAGCCACACCAAGGAGGAGACAGGAGTATCAAGGAAGAGTAGGACATGACAAAGGCAATGTTTTTAGTAATTTAGAAACACATTCATAATGCGTTATAATGCATTAATAAAGCATTATAAACATGGCTATGAATATTTATAAAAAGGCATAACATATGCCCCAAGAAGCTGTCATCTATAATGCGCTATAGATACTTTGAAAATGCAGTACAAGGCATCCTTAAGTCTTATTCCTACGATTATAATGCATTATAAAGGTATGTATAGTGCATTATAGATTAAAGCATTAAAGGATTCATAATGCATAATAAACATGGCTATAATGTGTTAAGCATTTGATAAATATTTATAGCCATGTCTATAATGTTTTATGAATGCATTATTATTTGTTATGAATGTGTTTATAAATTACTAAAAACATGGCCTTAAGTAAAGTGTTACCAGGTTGCCTTTTCTTTGCTCCACTAATGTGTCAATATTTTTGACTATCCACCTTTTTTTTTATCCTTTCAAGAATTTGATCCTGGTACCCTCTTGTTGAGATTTGTGCATCGGTCGATATTGTTAACATGCACAAATGAACCATTGCTTCATCCTTCAAAGCAGATTCTCAGTGGCTGCTCTGATTCGTCTCGTCTTGATTGTGTCAGAATCTGATCTAGGCAAGACCATCATGGTAGCATATGCCGTTCACTTTTAATGATGGTTTTCTGAGTGCTCCAAGGAGAATCTGAAGCATTTTTCATGTCTATTAGATAATCTCTGCCTTTCAACAACTTGTGATTTTTTATGTCCAATGCTGAGTCTCTACCTTAAAATTCTACTCAACATTGTAACCATAGCTCTGCTGCTGCCTTTTATCGGTACCTATCTTTACCTATCACAGTTAACAGCTATTGGTTATCAATTAACCAATAGCTGGTAGTGTCACCTGGAAGGCAACTAAACATACTTTAACTTAACGCTGTAATAATGGCCCTTATTTTACACTTAGTGTACATTAAGTTACTCAACCTTCAATATAAAAAATCTGAAATTATTGTTTTCAACATCAGGCTGTAATTTAAAGATGTTACTGCAGTTTAAATACTGTGACTTGTAACTAGATGTGATTAATTGAGAAGTAATACAGAATAATTGCAAATGATCATCAAGTGTTAAATGGACTTTCATCCAAGTTGACATACACATGAGGATCAAACAGTAGATGGAGTTAAGGGCCTCGCTCATGAGCCCAGCAGTAACATGACTTTACCAGCCACAGCTAGAGAGAGTCCTGACCAGCACAACCACACACCACCCTGTGACATAACTATGATGTAACCATAAATAAACCGAATGACTTGGCCGAAGAAAATTACAAACATAATAAAGAGTTCAAGAGACATTTTCCCAGAGGGATTTTAGGACAATCTGTTAAATTGTTTTCAAGTTAATGTTCTTGAGCTGTATTTGTAGTTAGCTTTAAAATTTTCAGCAGAGTGTTGTGAGAAAGGCCATATCCTCAGAGTAACCAGGGCGAGGAAATAGGGATAGAAAATAAAACAATACAGTACATAGAAAATATTTTATGAAATCTGTTTTACCAATACACGATTACAAAAGCATATAATGCTACGTTTCCCAAATACTGCAGAATACGCAAACCCTGAAATTCAAAGGTTGCACAGAAAATGTGCAATACGTAATGACGTAATGTTCCACAAGATGTCTCCGCTGACCGCCAAAGACAAACATTAAGCTCCACCCCTGGTAAATGTGGTATTATGGGGCTTTGTTATAAGACACAAGGACGAAAAAAAATGACATACTGAATACTATTCGAATCCCCATTTCGGATCCAGAATGCTTCTTTCGGAGGAGCAGAAAATATAAAAAAACGTATTTTGGTGCTTCTGTGGATGGGAAAATGCGTCATATCGACAAGATGAAAACCGAGAGGACGTTTTGTATGCTGCTGTTTCTGCTCCGTTTCTTGGAGGATGTTTCTGGCCAACTTACCTATTCGGTTTCAGAAGAAACAGAGCCCGGAACATTTGTGGGGAATGTCGCCAAGAGTCTAAATATCAACGTACAGGAGCTTCAATCACGTATGTTTCAGATTGTCACCGGCTCCAATACAAACTATTTTGAGGTAAATTTAGATGATGGGGTTATATTTGTTAAAGACAGAATAGACAGGGAAGTCCTCTGTTCAAATGCCGTTAAATGCATTCTTAATGTGGAAGCTATAATGAATAATCCTTTAAAATTTTATCGTTTAGAAATTAATGTCGTGGATGTTAATGATAATTCACCATCATTTACATCTGAATTACAATCAATAAACATTGCCGAGAGCACCTTACCCGGGGGAAGATTTCCATTAGGTGGGGCACGGGATGCAGACGTTGGGAAAAACGCGATTAAAACATACAAGCTTAGCCCCAATGAGCATTTTTCTTTAGCGTTGCAGTCTATTGGAGAACAGAGTGAATCTATTGACTTGGTCCTGCAGAAAGCTTTAGACCGAGAGAAACAGTCCGCGATACACCTCCTGCTAACTGCTATAGATGGTGGGACCCCCCCTAGATCTGGCACATCGGAGATTATTGTTAATGTTCTGGACAATAATGACAACAGTCCAATATTTAGCAGCTCTTTGTATAAAACAAAGATTAGTGAAAATGTAGCACCTGGAACCTCTGTAATCATGTTAAATGCAACAGATTTAGATGACGGGGCAAACAGTGAGGTTGTGTACTCCTTCAGTAAACATGAGCAAGGCCAAATTTCGGATATTTTTTATATTGATCCTCACACAGGACTTATAACCGTTAAGGGGGATATTGATTATGAACTAAAGAATGCATTTGATATCCGCGTTCAAGCAAAAGACAAAGGCCAGCCTCCAATGGCCGCGCACTGTAAAGTGCTTATTGAAGTGCTGGATCTTAACGATAATTCTCCGGAAATTATAGTGAAGCCACTTTTAAACACAGTTCCAGAAAATGCGAAAGTGGGCACTGCAATAGCTCTTGTAGAGGTCCACGACAAAGATTATGCTCAGAATGGAGTTGTTAATTGCAAATTATATGGAGAGGTACCGTTCAAATTACAAGCGAACTATAAGAATTACTACTCTCTCGAAATTGAGCGGCCTCTGGACAGAGAGAGCGCTTCTCAGTACAACGTCACCATCATAGCTACGGATGAGGGGAGCCCGCCTCTGTCCAGCAGCAGCGTTTTTGCGATACTGGTCTCTGACGTAAATGACAACGCGCCGGAATTTTCCCAGCCAGAGTTCAATATTCATGTAAAGGAAAACAGTCCGGTTGGATCTCTTTTACAAACGGTGACGGCGTTTGATGCTGATGCAAATGAAAATGCACATGTTACATATTCTTTAATGGACGGTAACAGCAAAGGAGCCCCTGTCTCCACCATGATAAACATAAACTCTGTTACTGGGAGTATATACAGCTTGCAAGCTTTTAACTATGAGGAAGTGAAGACTTTCCAGTTTCGAGTTCTGGCGACGGACTCTGGTGTCCCTGCACTAAGCAGTTCGGTGACTATTAACGTTTTTATCCTGGATGAGAATGACAACAGCCCTGGGATT